TCCCGATGACGTGTGCGTGGCGTGTATTTATTATTTTATTAGCATCAGAGAGCGGAAGTTGTGAAAATAGAAACTTCTCGAGGTGAACGGAAGCGAGTGAAACGAGCGTATCAATTTGTTGGATGAAAATTAGAGGACCGAAATGTTGGATACGCAATGGAGCATGATTCTTACATTCTTCATTTTAGTCGTGTTTTCTTTGAATCTAAAGTTATGTTGTAATTTTGAGAAAATTTTTTGTTTATCGCACAGAGAATACAATTAAATTAAACAATGTTTTTTAATTCCTTCCTTTTTTTTTTTTAAGATAAACAATTTTTATTATAACATAAAATTAAAAGTTTAAATAATGTATTTATTAGGCGAGACAAATTATCAGATCGGTGGAGCACAGCGCCACGGAAAGTTAACGAACTAAGATTTGATTATACCGTTTGCCGGTAAGCCAGGGAACTACTAGGATTAGTAGAAATTTCTTTATCGCGGGAATTACGAACGTTTGAAAGTAAAAATAATAATAGATGCTTCAAAAATGAAGAAATATTCGTAATACATATTTACAAGTACAATCTTCAAGAGAATTGTGAAAAACTAGTGATTGTAAATATATTATTTCCAATCGAATCAATCATTTTTATCCCATCTATCATTCTCCAATCCAATATCAGACTAAAAATAACGATTTATTATCGATTCAATTATTTTTTTTTTTTTTTTTTCTCTTAAGTCAAATTTCCACGAAATTTAAACTTATAATCCCATTACATTTTAAAACTTCATCGCTTAATTAATATATTCAAACTTATACGAAGGGAGAAGGGTAAACGTATCACGATTCGTTAAAATGGATACATCAACCGACAATTAAGAAGGAAAAGAGGGAAAATAAAGGGAATATGATAGAGAAAGTCCAGTTTCGTCGAGCTTCCGCCAGCATGAGATGCTGATCAACCAGGTAAGCTACGTGACACCGGTCCAACCGGCTGTCAGAACTTTATCGAATAATAAACGAATTAAACAGCGGCGGGACGATGGCCTGGCGGACATTTAAAGTGCTCGTCCATGTCCACGTCCGTCCTGGCTAATTACCGTCGACTTTAACCGCGATCCAGAACAGCAAATTTGATCCTGGACAAAACAATTTCCGCCCAACAACTCTGTCTCCCCGATTATATTTTTCCCCGCTCTCCGTCACTCTCGTTTCGAACGTTTCCATCTTTATTCCAATTTCTCGAATATACGAATAATATTATCCATTAATAAAGTTACGTTCGAATTTTCGCCAATTTTCGCGTGGATAATTTTTCGTCTTCTCCCTTCTTTCATCGGTTTTTTCTTTTTTTTTTTTTTTCGAAGGAACGATGATTGACAGCCGGTTTTCACTCGACGTCAATTAGAGGGAATCGAAGGTGTTCGAAGCGTTGATGGAAGCTTCGTGAAAATATGCAAATCGTGGATATTTCTCTTCACGATTCATTACGGATCGAAGAAGAAGAGAAGAGAAATTTGGTAGAAAGAGGTATTTGAAAAAATTCGTTCGCAAAATCCATATAAATTATTCCCCTATTTTACAATGAAAATAGATAGCAAATAGATTATTTCATCGCTCGGAGTAGTTTACGATGCGCAAGATCGTTACTTATTAACAACGAATGGCCAACTTCAAAGTTTCTCGGTGTCCAAAGACGGATCAGGGTTAAATTTTCAACGAGGCTGTTCCATATTAGTCAATCTATGAACACAATTAGAACCGATAGAATTCCATACGATAGATCGTATAGACACAAATTTTGTTGCGTGAATTTTTTAAAATTCAAAAACAAATTAATCATTCCCCTCTTCGATGATTAATCCAAACATATCGAATAATCTAACAATTTAAATTACCATTTCGATCAATTTTCGAATCGATCCGCTTTTAAAAACCGTTCGAAACGTTCATTTTTTCACGAATTAAAAAACCTTTGGAAATAACGAGTCGGAAAGGCGAGCAGAGATCGATTAATCACGAGCAACTAACCCTTTGTCGAACAACCCCGCCTTCCAAGATCCATGACCCAGTCGGATTCGAGCAAGTTAATCCGTCGATCGTTCCGAGGATCGGTTCATTCAGGGCGCGGATAAACATCCGAAATGAATTCCAAGGGTGGTTACCAGGGCAAGGGGCGCGAGGGTAACTGCTAACTGGAGGGTTAAATTAAGAGGAGGAAGAAGGGAGCAGTTTCGAGCGATAGAAACCGAGAGAAACGAGAGTCGAACGCTCGTAATGCGACCAGCTTAAACTTGCGATGGGTCTCTGGGGTATGAAAGAAACATAGAACAAAAAAAAAAAGAAAAAAGAAAGGAAAAATAAAATAAAAGAGAGAGGATGGAGAAGAGAGTCAGTCGGATTAGCTCGCTGACTGACTGACTGACTAACATTTAAAAGAACTGACAATGTCTACCAGACATTAGAATCCAATTTTGCTGTATAAACCATTAGAATGATTTCAATCGAAACTATGAAGAAATATTATTTCTCATCTTCGTTATATAATAATTTTCCTCCCAATATCTCTACTCCTAAAAAAAAAAAAAAGAAAAATCGAATCGAAACCCCTTTTCCAAAAGCATCTGATCAATTTTTCAATATTCGAACCAACGTTCGTATCATCCCGCGGCGTAGCATCGTTATATCAACGAACGGCGGCGACGACCACCGTTCCCAGACAGAATTGAACGCGTTTTTTAAATGGAAGAAGCGCGGTGGCGGAAAACATGGGTCCGGTTGTTTGCCGGCCGAGCAAACACGCCGCCACTTCTCGAGGGCGTAATCGAAATTGCGGCCTCGACGTCGACGAACGAGTTTCCGCGGAATCGTGGACGCGACCACGGTGATTCGATTACCGTGCACAGCGACACACAGAGATTCGAGGGGAGGGCTTTGGCTCGTTCGAGGGAAAGTTCGCCGCGGAACGTCCTGGCCCGTGAATAAGGCCGAGGAGCGTTGGTTTGGGTTGGGCTGGGCTCTGGCCTGCGGCTGCGACTACCAAGGCTGGCCAACGCACTCCTGGGAAGACATAAATGTGTCCCTTTAGTGGCGGGACGCATCTCCGTTCATCCGCGTGTCCAAAGGCTACCACCTCCCCTCCCCAAATTTTCTTCGAACGTGTTTTTTATTTTTATCTTCATTTTCTTTCGATTCTGGAGAGTTGTTCGAGTTCGAGGGTAAAGATTTTAAAGGTTTCCGACTGTTTAAGGGGTTTGGTGTTAAGTGATGAGTTCGTTAGGATTCAAACTCGTTCGTTTAATTTTTATCTTATATTCGATCATCGAGGTCTAAGGATTATTTATTCTCCCATTTATAAAATGTAAATCTAAATTAATTTATTAAGTGGAGCAATTAAATTTTAGAATTTTATAAGTAAAAATTTATGTTCATCTTACAATTTAGAGACAGTTTATAATTATTTAATCATCGATTCATTCGTTCGATTAGAAGAGAATTATTACTATGCTTTATACAATCGATATAAAGCATGTAAAAAATTTTTCAAAAATTTTCCTTTAAATTGTCCTTCTTTTTCCTTGGGTTAAGGAAACCTTGGGTTAAGGTAAGAATTTTATTTTCTTCTCTCCTCCCCCTTCTTTTCCTTCCGACGTTACAAACGAAGGTAATTTGAATTCCTGAAACATCATCGAACACTCGAGGGGTTCGCACGTACCTCCCGTTTACAAATCACTGTTCCAGATCAATCAGACGAAATAGTTAATTGTGTCCGTGACTATATTCCTACAGTTGTAATGGACTTGAGAGATTCGTGGAGTAAAACCGAGTCAAACCGAACTGGCTCCTCTCTTGCTCTCCGTGTAATCGAATTACGTAAGCGTATGCACGTCGAATTCGTGGAAACTCGTGGCCAATTCGTATAAAGCAAATCTGCAGGAAATTTTCATCCGGTCCCTTGAGCCTGATAAAAACCTTACACCTTATATATATATATATATATACGTTTTACCTTACCTACGACAGAGGAATTCATATCTCGAAACTTTTGCATTCTCGTCGATTGATATTACGCGAAGAGCAGACCATGAATTCGAACGAAAAAAAAGTGTAAGATACAAACGATAAAAATTGAACGATTGTGGATTACGAAATCTCTCATTGTCTCGAGATCTGTATACAGAATGTTAATTATTCAAACGAAACGCAAACTTAACATTATAAACGTATGTTGAAATTGTAGAGTTAACAAATTGCAAATTCACAAAACTGGATGGCAACAGATTTAAAATTCTAAATACCGGATTCCCGAGTTAATTAGAAAAGTTTGGAAAATTTCAAAATTGAATGTAAATTTCAAAGTTTCAAATCCTAAAAAGTTTACACAAAATTGCAAGATAATAAAATTGAATATCAGGGAAACGGACGATTTCGTGGAAATGAACGCGAGGTTGGTTAAAAGAAAAATTGTTGAAATCGCAAAGCTGATCGATGGCGAATTTTCCCATAAAATTTCTAATAAAAATCCGCAAAAATCCGCGGATTAAAATCCGAAACAAACACGAATTCCGATAAATTCCGGAGGATCGTCCACTTTCCCCTCCTCGTCGTCGATTTGACCCTAATTTCCCTTCTAAACATCCCCTCGTGTTCTTTTCTCTTACGAGGCAATGTCCGCTTGAAAAATTCACCCCCGTACAACGAGAAACAGAAAAGGGAGACAACCCTCTTTATCGCCGTAGCTTTCTGCTTGTTAGGACCTCCTCGAGATCTCTGAGATTTTTATGGAACTGCTTTAAGAATCTCCCGCATTTCCTGCGTTACTCGTTCCTTTTTTTTTCTTTTTCTTTTTCATCGATCGAGTCAGAGAGAGGTAACATTTATAACACAAAAATAATCGTGAGAATAACTACGCAAACATCTCAAGACTCACCGCTGTCGAGGCTGTTCTGGTTCTCCAGGTCTAATCCTTGAACCGAAGATGGCCTCCCCTCTTGAAGATACTCTGGGACAAAAATTATTTTATAACGGTTAACGAAAGAAGATGAATTACAACACATTTCGTTAATACGAGTTTGACACAAAAATTGTTAAAAAAATACTCGAGTTATTCATTGTGGAATTATTATTGTAAAAAAAAAAAAGAAAAGAAAAGAAAAAAAGGTGCAAAGGTAAATGCATTCGTCGATGCAGTTACACGCAACTGCACTTCATTACTGCGATACACATAAAAAAAAAAAAGGACATGGAGGAATATGCCTCAATTCCATTTAATTTCTCTCCACGCTCTATGTACACACAATTCTCATGTATATTTTCTTGATCTTGTCTTTTCAGAGCCAACCAATATAACTCATAATAATCCCCGGATGATCACGTTACACGCTCAACCTTTCGACGAAACGTTTTAATTTCACCTCGTACATGATACAATTATCTCAACTTCCAACGACCCTTCGCCACAAATGGAACCACCCCTTTCGCGCAACTTCAACCTACCACCAGCAATCTACCATCGATCTTTTCGTACACGTTCTTTTCTGTTATTTCGTTCGCGAAAAAAGGAGAAAAGAAAAGAAAGGGAAAGGGAAAGGGAAAGAAGAAAAAAAAAGGATTAAGAAAAAGTTTGGACACGATCAATTTGGTCGATTTATTACCCCTCCGACTTTTACACCGCGGGCCCCTCCCTCCCCAAAATCCAGTGGCGTAATTCGAGGCAACACGTAGCCTAATAGGGGGGAGGGGAGGGGGCCGCATTGAAATTTCATGGGATTTCGGGCGATCGAGCAGAACGAAGTTGGATACACGTTGGGTGGTGGCACGGTAAGCGTGCTCCCGCCGACCCTTTTCGCTACACGGACGGGTATAATACGAGAAAGGGTGGAAAAGAGCCGCGACGGCCCCACGGGAGCCATACCCCGGTGATATTGGCTCCCATAGCCTATTCCTGCTAGCACGAGGACCGAACCACCCACCACCTTAGGCCAGCTGGTCGAGGAAAACTGGCCAAAATTCAAATTTCCCACCGGAGTATGCGCAACTTTAAGCGTAACTTGTGCGAAACAACCACCGATACCCCCTCACCTCGACGTATTCGCGATCAGAGGCTTCCTTCTTTTTACACGTGTATCGATCACGATGGTCAAAGTCGAGCGACAAAGGATAGGATAGGTAGGTCTTGGCTGGATCTTCACGGATTTCGAAACTGGGTTTCGGAATTGGAAGTGGAGTGCAAAGTGAATTCTCTCTTTTTTTTCTTAAAATCGAGTAAATTGCCTTTTTTTTTTTTTTTTGCGTAATAATATGGACGAATTCTTGGAAAACTTTGAAAACGAACTGCGTGTCAGGCAGAAAGTTCCTCGAGCAAGAAAGAAACCTACCTACCGAATATTTTCCTTTCCTTTGGATATATGATAACTTTGAGACGCTATCAACTCGAACCAGCCATGAAATGAAATCGCAAGCATGGTTCACGACAAGATTTCTCATTTCTCAAAGAAACGTGCATTTCCGTGCATTCTTCTCTTAGAAGAATCCTTCGTCCGAATGTTAATTGTTTATTCGAAATGGGGAATAACTCATTGATAAGGGAAAGGACAAAGTGGGAAGGGAGGGTGGAGCAGCAGAAGTGGCAAGACGAAGGTGTGCGTTCAAGCTTGTGAAATTATCATCGGTCATAAGTCATGGGAGGGGGGGGGAGAGAGGCGCGGTAACGTTGCAGCGCAACGCAACGTTCGTGGTTTCAGGGAAGAGATAACTCGTATAAATAACCCGGAAGTCCGCGGTGTACAATAGCCTTTTTTTACGAGTATGACTTTTGGGAGTTCCAAGGCCGCGCTTGGGACCGCAGTTGGTAATCAGTTTGTCGTTGCCGCCGAAATATACTATACGGGGGCGAGGCGGGGAGGGAGGGGGATGCGCGAGAGGAAGTAAAAAAAAAAAAAAAATAATTTCACTCACTGCTCGAATTTTAGATCTCTCATTACGATGCAACGGGATCTCTGTTAAATCCTGGCTCTTGTAAAAATTATTTCCATCGAATAACTCCTGCCTCGATATCCTCTCCCGTTCTACATTTAAATTTTTCGTAAAAAATATATAATTCGTTATCTGTACGCGTTACTATTAAAACGGATTAATTTTTGATACAAGGTTTTTTTTTTTCTTCCTTTTTACGATGTAATTAATGGGAAGGAGTTTGCTTAATTTTGTACATCATCGATTTTTCTGTTCAAGAAACTTTTCAAGAAACTTTTTACTTTATTTTCGTTGGAAAGGATGTTCGATCGATCTTTTTTTTAAGTCGATAGCCAGTTAACTCGATCGCGGGTAAATCCCTCAAGAAAGCCCCCAAGTCGAGGGCGCCGAAATTATCGCACCCCTAAATCTCGCCAAGAACTGTCTTTAAGTGTCTATCGAATCATCTTCATCCATTCCTATATCATCTATGTATCAATCATCTTCCATCTTTTTCTCAAACAATCCTGTAATTTTGCGTATCTTCTCGCAATCGATTAACACACATTTCATCATTCTTAAACGAAGAAACAAATATCCCTCCAAATATCCAATTATCCAAATCTATTAACACCGAAAAATTAACGTTTCTTCAATTTTTTCCAAAGAAAAAAAAAAAAAAAGAAAACTCACTGATTCTCCAATATTTTAAAATCTTCAGGTGTTCGTTAACACCTTCCATTCTCTCGATTCTTTTTTGCAACACCCTCTATTCACCACACCTCGAAACGAAAAAAAACAATCCCTCCATCCAAACCTGTTAACGTTCCTTCTCAAATGCAAAAGGGGAAAAAAAAGGAGGGGGAGGGTGAGGGTTAACCCTCCCTCATAATAGCCACGATTGTGTCTTTACGCGAGCGCGTATAAATTTGGGCGGCGCTCGAAGCTGTTGGAACCGGTTTTGGTTTTGTATTAGCATGTAACTCCGGCAGGAGTTGAAGTTGCGATGGCTTGTGGGTGGCTGGGCGAACGTAGGGAGGGTAATTACCTCCTTGGGGAGCCCCCCTCCGTTCGCGTAGCCGGCAATAGCCCCAGCACGGGTACAGAGGCTTCCCACTGCTCCCAGTGGTCCCGCGGGAACCCGCCAGTGGCTCTCATCCCGTCGGTTCTCATTCGACCTAAATTGGATTTCGTCGTGGCGCGCGCGCGCGCGCGCGTCTGGATTTTTCTTCTTTTTTCCTTTTCCAAGATTTCAATCGCGTGGCCAAAAGTCAAAGGTTAAAAGAGTTAAGGGTTGACGTTGAGATTAAGAGCTTTTTTTTTTATCGAGACGATGATGTCGATAAAGGTTTTGATGATTCGGATGGAGGTTAGGCGTGGTTGAGATAAAAATTGCATTTTTATGGAAGTGGAGATGGCGCGGTGGCGTATACGGGTAATTAGTATGATGAGTTGTTAATAAATGGTTTTTGACAGTGATGTAGGGATGGTAATGGCAATGAGAACAGCCTTGAGACTGGTAGCCAGGATAATAGGATGATAATGATCTTTGGTGATAATGGTATTGAAAATAATAGGTACGGTTATAGTGCGGATGGTACGATGATAATTATAATGATGATAGTAATAAAGAGAATGGAAATGTTAATAATAATGACACTGGTAATAATTATGATTCTCTTGGATAACTTTGATTAAACTTTCGGAATAGTTAATTAATAAACGATCTCTCTCTCTCTCTCTTCTGTCTCTCTCCATATAATTTGTCGGATTAAACAACTTTCTACGTTGATACGTTTATATCGAAAAATGTTTTTCTTCTTCTTCTTCTTCTTCTTCTTCTTCTTCTTCTTCTTTCCCTTTGTCCACAGATTATTTTGATAGAGAGACATCGAGTTTGCTCATCAATTTGAGAAATGGTAATTTCGGTCTTTTGACGTTCGAGGGTTGTTCCACCCTTCGAATTGGAGAGACTAACCCGTAAATATGTATAATATGATGTTTCGAGAAGGGTAAATTTGCCTTTGAGAGCGCGAAATTTTTAATCGAATCGATTCTTGAGTAAAATTTAACAAGCCAACCAAATTTTTTACAAATTTTCAGAAATACAACAAGTATTACAAATAAAGATTTAAAACTAATATAGTTTCTATCTCTAATGTACTATCATCTAACTATCAGAAACTCGTGATAAATATCGACACAAATTATTAATCAAATGTTAAAGTGACCATCGATCGAATTGGAATTCAACGTTCAAACTTTCAATATTTTTGGCTCAATCCGCAAGATGGAAACGGTTGGAATAGCTATTCGAGATCCTGATCTTGGTATGATATGACCAAATATATTATATGCACACATATACACACACACACACACACATATATAACAAATTAGAATTTCACGATTACAGCTTGTGATATCGCGAGACAGTTTCGTGCTTTCCATTCGAGCCTTGTCAGAGAGTTTAATTGCCGGGACGTCTCGCGACGGGCATTAAATTCGGATTACTTAAGTCTCAGTTAGCTCGTTTTATTAATCTTCGTGGAGACCTATGATCATTCGAAACGAGATGTTTTATTAATAAGTTTTCCGCCCAGAAAAAGTGATTTCTGAAACAGAAACGATTACGTTTCAGAAAAACGTTTGAAGTATTTGAACCTCGAGGAAATCGAACTTGGCGAAAAACGCGTTCGCAAAGCGATCAGAAATATTTACCACTCTTTGATAATCGATCAAATGATGTGACGAAAAAATATCTCAATCGAATTCGCGTCATTTCAACTCGATCTCTATAGTGATCGATATTACATCTGAAAAAAAAGGATCGATAATCCCATAATGATCATTGATCGTTATCCTCTCAAAGGGTCGCTTCATACTTTCACGATGATATTATCCAGCTGATCTTCCAACGGACAATTCAATTAAGCTCTCGAGCCGTTCTACGGCTGATGTGATTTTAATTAACGCCATTGGCGGCATTTTCATAGCCTCTCCCCCCCCTCCCCCTTCCCCTTCTCACGAATGATGAACTGTCGATCA